CGCCCAGATATCCTGAATGAGAAACTCCAGGGATGGGCCCAGGCATAAGATATTAAGCTTATGCCTGAGGCCACCAGGAGCTAAACTCCCTAAATTCGAAGCCATCAGCAGCACCACACCCAACGCAGAGTAGGCAGGCCTTGGAGCCCATAGTGCTGGGCAGGAAGGTAAGAAAGCTGACACCAGACAGGGTCTCCTGGGTCTCCTGAAGCCACACTGACAGTAGGAGAAAAAGATCTTGAACAAGAGCCCTGGGGACTCCTCCTCACCTGCTCCCGCTTGAGCTTTTCTCTTTTCCGAATCAGCTCAATCAGCAGCCGTGCCCGCTCCAAGTCGTGCCGGAGCTTCTGCCAGTATTTCAGCTCTTCCTTCACTGCATTTGTCTTCTCGTCCTGCTCCCGCTGCAGGAGGGAAGGGAAAGGATAGAGGAGCTGTGGGCCTCCTTCCTGCCCAAAGTCCTCTCCCTGCTCAAGCCTCTGGGGCCTCAGCAGGTAAGAGCCCCATCCCCTTCCTGGACCCATGGTCCCAGAGAGCCCTTCCACCCCCTCTACAACCCTTCCTCCAGTGCTTCCCCAGACTTATAACAATGTTTCTTCACTATAGCACAATAACCATTGCTGGGGTGAGAGCTGGGACTGCTTCTCCCTACCCCCAGGGACACCAGAGAGCAGCTGTGCATCCTCAGGGCTGGAAAGAATTTCAGAAGGAAACTAATAGACACCTCAGGGTGGAAAGAATTTCACCCTAGAGCTTCGACTTGGCTAGAAAACAAAGCGAAGTTTTTACTACGAGCTTGTGCTTACTGACTTGAACATACTTTAAAACACCACCATCACCACCAAAAACGTGATTCCTGCCCTAAAAGTGGTTACAGTGTAGTTGAGGGAAGAAAGAGGCCCAGGGTTTGATACGTAAGGGCACAGCAGCATAAAGACAACAAAAACTGATTGGATAAACTGAATATAAAATGCTAAGAGGACATAAAATAGAGAAGATCTCAGTGGACTGGGGTTAGGTCAGGGATTCCTGGGGCGAGCAATCTTACTAGGGTTTCACATGTAATGATGCATGTGGATGAAGAAAGCAGTAAGAAAGGCCTCTTTTGGAACTGAAGGGACCATAAAGCAGAAGTATGAAGGCAGAATTAGTGATTCTTTGCTTGTTGAGAAAAACGGGCTGGCCAGAGCAGAGAAACTGGAGAACCACAAAAGCCAAGGAAGACCCAGGATCCAGCTGGCAAGAAGCTTCAAATGGCAGGCAAAAAAGCCTGGACGTGGCCTGCCTGGCGAGGGGGAATTTATTCCGGAAAAGGAAATGACAGGATGGAAAATGGTTAAGTGTGTAAGACAGTACCAGCTGTAAAGCAAAGAAAGAATTAGAGGCTGGAGACCACCTAGAAAGCTACTGCTGAAATTAAGGGGGCATGGGTGAGCAGGGTAGCTGTGGAATGGAGATAAAGGGCCATATACTGATAAATCCCCCAAAACAGATCAGGGGATGATTAACTGCAGCTCCTTATGGAGGAAAGAGCCAAAAGTAACTCCAAGGTGGGCAACATCTGAGGTCAGGAGGAAGAAGCTTCCATAACAGTAATGGGGAAATACATTTACGGAGATGAAGGAAGATAATGAATTCAGTTTCCAACATCTGAGTTCAGGAAATAACATCTACACGGACATCTATAGTTCGTCTGCCCCAGAGGGACTGAGGGCAGAAAAAAGGGAGGGGACAAGACAAGAAACCTGGAGCTACTGCTACACAGTTATTGACAACTATGAGAGTGGACAAGCTCTCCAAGCCAACAGGGAGGCAACAGAGCCCCTGCGAGTGTTACCATTAAGGGGTAAGAATTAGGATCAGCACAGGGTACAGTCAGTGGGGTAGAGGGGGTGGGAAATGGTGTCACAGAGAAGCTGTAAGACAAAGTGATCGTGGTGTCAAACGCAGTCCAACAGTCTATAAGGTGAGAATCTGAAGAAAGACTTGCTGGGCTGGAAGGGGTCACTGATGTTCTAGAAGAAGCTACAGGGGAGCAAGCAGACCATTTCAAGGAGAAATTGGATATACACTTCCCCTTCAGGACTTCAGTTACAAAAGGCAAAAGTAAAATCAGACAGAACAGAGGGCACCAGAGTCATGGGAAGGCTTGCCTTGTCTCTGGAGTAATGGTGTGGGAATATTTCAAGGCAGAAGTAATGGAACAAGTGAAGAGGCAGAGAGAACTAAATATGTTTTTTAAAAGTCTCTCAGGAGGACTCCACCATCTCGGAAAACACTAAACATGCAGCAACTCCAGTTGCTAATGTCCAAAAGATCACCCCAACTGGGCAGGCTGTGCACTACAACCTAGATGGTTAGTGTATTTTTTATGGAACATTTTTAGGCAGATGGCAGTATAGTGTCTTAAGGAAAGTATGCCTTCCTAACTTATACAACATGGTCACCTGACTCTCACTCAGCCCACTTCTTCCTTTCTACCATATCTAAAGGGTTTTCCCCACGTAGAGGGAAAGCTGGGCTTGCTTTCCACTCTCCCCTAGAATTTGCTCCAAGCCAAGCCTCTCTCACCTAGAAGGGCTGCTGTCTGGTCTGAAGAACTCTACAGTCCTGGAGGTCACTCCTCGGATGGACCAGTGATGGCTACAGGCAAAGGCCCCGCAGAGGGCTCAGGGAGAGTTGCCCCAACCATCTCTCCTTCGTCACGCTCCACCTCCCTCCACTGCCCTCAAATAACTACTTCACCTACCTGCTCAGCATTCCTTTGGGACTGCAGGTGGGAGTGCAGGCGCCGTATGAGGGGGACACCGTTCCGTGCCTGCCGCTTCAACAGCCAGTAGTTGTGAAGCCGCTGCATGAACTGGGTTTTCCTCTGAAAGGAGAGACCACTACAGATCTTGTTCAACCTTGAGTAGAGGCAGAGGGAAGTGAAAGACAGGGTCAGTGGGCAGCCCAGATTACAGCCTCCTATTCAGACCCCCTGGTTCATTTCTGAACCTTATAGAGGAAGACAGAATAAAGTAGCCAAAGCCTCACCTCAGAGAAAGCCTTGAAAAGGACAGCAAAGTTAAGCAGCTCAGATTCAGCATGGGATATTTCACTTGATTTTCCACCTCCTGCCTTGCAGTCCTGATCCTCCAAAAGAACCCTCCCCCAGGAACCCTGACCCTATAGTCCTGGACTCCTGAGACACAGGTCTGTGCCCCAACACCCCCACTCTTCTCTTGATAAAGGCAGCAAAAGAGAACAGGAACTTGCATAAGCTGTGGGCAAAGCGGTCACTATTTCCTGCCCCCTGTAGTTAAGGGTCCCACCAGACCAGGGAGTAGTCCACAGCCAAGCTGGAAGGAAAATTAGTAGGAATATAGCAGGCTACTGCCTTCTGAACCCAAATACAACCCTTTGGAGTTGTCTGACCTCTGGTTTTTCATTAAAAATCTCAGTAGCCTAAAAACGTCTAATTTTGAACCAAATGAAAAAAAAATGGATCTAAAGATGTAAGAGGATGGAGAATCTGAAAAGTCAGCTGGCTAGACAAAGAAAGATAAGTACTGTATGATAACGCTTATATGTGGAATCTAAAAAAGACAACAGGGGAATTCCCTGGCGGTCCAGTGGTTAGGACTCGGTGCTTTCACTGCAAGGGCCCAGGTTCAACCCCTGGTCAGGGAACTAAGATCCCACAAGCCGTGTGGCATGGCCAAAATAAATAAATAAATAAAAAATACAACAAGCTAGTGAATAAAACATAAAAGAAGCAGACTCATAGAGAACAAACGAGTGGTTACCAGTGTGTGGCAGGGGGGTGGCAATACAGGGCTGGGGGAGTGGGAGGTACAAACTATTGGGTGTAAGATAGGCTCAAGGATGTATTGTACAACACAGGGAATATAGCCAGTATTTTGTAATAACTGCAAATAGAAAGTAAGCTTTAAAAATTGTATGAAAATTTAAAAAAATTTTTTAAATTTAGCTGGCTAAACTGCGCCAAAAGAGAAGTCTGGAGGTCAGCGTTCAAGCCAATAACATGTGGCGGGGGAGGAGTGGGAAGGGAATTAATGAGCTCCCACAGTCTCTACCATAATGCCCAAACTTCAACGTGGGTCACATTATTCCCATGTTACAAAAGATGGAAAGGCAGCTTAGGAACATTGTCAAAGTCACTAATGCAGCTAAAAAGATGGTGAAGCTGGGCAGGATTTGAACTCATGATCTCTCTGCTACAACATCTGTGCTCCGAAATTGGTTAAGCAAGGCCTCAGTGCTCCTGTGGCGTTTCCTCTGCTTCTTCTCTTCCTCTTATTCCACTGAAAGGAAGACAATTGTGGCTAAACAAGAAGGTGGAATCTAAGAAGGATGTTCATGTTGGGCTAGACATTGCTCACCCAGGCCTTGTGCCTTTCCATGGTCAGACATTCCTGCCCCAAAGCCAAGCTTACAAAATCAAGGCCTAGGCCTTTCCCCAAAAGACAGATCCCCCACCAACACCCATGCCAAGCACACCTGCCCAGATGCAGGCAGCCCCCTCCCTCTACAACCTCTTGGCCATGGAGGGTCCCAACGGCATTTGTGCAGGTGGGGAAAAGAATAATAATAAAATAGCAGTAGCAGCAGCAGCCATCATTTATTGAGCACTTACTATTTGCCAGGCACTGTGCTTTACTTGTATTATCTCATCTATTTCTCCCAACAACCCTATAAGGTAGTTTCACTTACAAATAAATAAACTAAGGCTGAAAGAAGTTAAGTGACTTGCCAAAGATCACACAGGTAGTTAGTGACAGAAGCAAGATTCAAACACAGGTCTGTCTGGTTCTTAGCCAGCATGCTGTGCTGGCCCCTGCAAGAGACCACCTACAAGAGCAGACCTGACAACCAAAAAGTCTAGCCCCAGGGCATAACCACCCTACAGATGGAGACTAAGCATGGACCTCACCTAAGGGAGGAGGGGAGCCTAGAACAGCTCTGTGACTAGAAGGCCCGTTTCCAGTTGACTGAATCTAACTCCAGCCATGGCTCACAAGAGCCTCTCCCTCTGGATCTTGTCAGCTCTTGTGTCTTCCTTCCAGACCAACAAGTCTGGTTGCCTATTTCCCTCATACAACTCACTCCCCACTGCCCTCCAGTACTCCTTTCTCCCTATCCCTTACACCAAGAGAGACAGACAGCAGGAACAGAACCTTGAGGCATCACAAGCCCCAGCTTGTCCAGGGTCTGTCGCTTTACCCCTGGTTCCTTCCAGCCCTTAGAACAGGACTTGGCATATAGTAAGTGCTCAATAAACATCTCATTGAATGAATAATGGAGTGAACAACTTTACCTCCCGTGGCCGCAGTTTCTTCATCTGGGGGTGTGGGAGAAGGTGCAAGGACTATGTTAGATGAATAATCTCCAAGATTCCTTCCTGCTCTAACACTGTAGTCTTTTTAGTGAACATCACCAATGAGATGGGCCTCCGCTGGAAAATCTTCCCTGTCTCTTGCTTGTCTGCCAAGCTCCCGTCCCTCCAACAGTGCCAGCTATCTCTCTGATGGTTTAAAACAGGCACAATGGTTTCTCTACAGACTCGGTGGGGGCCAAGGCGGCTTAGTCACACAGCAGAGCTGAGTGATCGTCTTTCCTCTAAATCTAAAAGCTTCTCAGGAGGAGACATAGCATATCTTCCCCACATGACCACCCCCTTACACAAAGTCCCCATCACTCCCAGGACAGAGCTTTCTGGACAGCAGGTACGTATACTGACCCCTTGAAACAGTGGTTCTCAATTGGAAGTAGTTCTAGCCCCATAAGGTTACTAGAAACATAAGTAGGGAGCAACTGAGGTTGTCACAAAGACCAGGCAATGAGGGAGGGGATGCAAATGGCACTTACAGACAAAGACTAGGGATGCTAAACATCGAGAAATGTACGGGACAGCCCTAATAATGAATTACCTCCTGTCCAAAATGCCACTTGTGCCCTGTTGAAAAATATTACCTTAGACATCCTGTCACCTGGGTTTCTAAGCAACTTAAGTGTCTGTCTCACCTTGAATCAAAGGAAATACATTGCTTTGAAGGGCACAATCAAAACCACAAACCAGTCCAGGTGAGCCCAGGGTCTAAAGGAGAAGTCTAAATTTGAGAGCACAGAAGAGAAGAGGTATTCACCAACCTTGGGGAAAGAAGCCTGGCTCAGAAGCCTGGCTCACGGCCAACAGGCTCACCTGTAAGAGGGTATCTGTGGGACAGTGACCATGGGGACAGTGGAGGGTGTGTCTCGGCCCACTTCCTCTGGCTCCTTCTTGATCCTTTGCTTCAAAGTCATCTTGTTCTTCTTGGACACTCCCTTGAGGGGGCCACCTACCCCACCTTGGCCTTCATCTTCCTCCTCCTCTTCTACCTCTTCCTTCTCTTCTTCCTCCCCACAGCCTTCCTTCAGCCCTTCTTCATCCCCAACCTCACTGAGACTTCCTGGGGAGTCGCCCTTCCTCCTAGCAGTGGCGGCACCTGGCGGCGAGTGGACCTCACAGTAGGCGGTCTTGCGCACTGTGAAGATGGTGCCATTGAGGCTGGTCTCACGCATAGGCTCAATCTTCATGAAGAGCCCAGCCCGCTGTGCACACGTCACATGGAAGGCCGTGTAGCAGTTCACCTTATGGCACTGGATGGCTGCACCCAGCCCCTTCTGCTTGCAGATATAGCAGGTTAGTTTCCAGCGGGCAGCTGGGATGTTGTCGATGCCCTCAATAGGCTCCAGGAACACGGTGTTAGCAAAGCAGACTTCAGGGATCCAGATGGCACACACCACGTGGGCCCAGTGCCCATCACTGGTCTGTTTGAAGGCGCCACCCTTGTTGGGGCAGAGGACGCAATCCACGGGCCGGGAGGGAGACTGTAGACAGCAGCGGCATAGCCACTGGCCCTCGGGGATGTAAGGGACGCCATAGCACTCCTGGTGTACAGCCAGGTTGCAGATGTCACAGAAGAGAATGACGTTGCTGTTGTGGCATTCGTCATCCAGGCATACACAGCAGAAAGCATCTTCGTCAATGAGTGACTGTTGGGCCCCACTGCTTCGACTCTCCAAGTATGACTCCTTCTCAAGCCGGTCCACCAGCAGCTCAAAGGTATCTGCCGACACCAAACTGTGCCCATCTACTCGCCGCTTCTCATTTACCATGTCCAGCCAGGCAAGGTCCTCCTCATCCATGTCGTACTCTACTTCTGCATCCAGGTCTTCAGGTGGCTTCTCAATGTAGCGGTAGTAGGCAGCAGGCAGCGGGGGTGCTTCTGGTTGACTGCCTGAGTCCACCATGCGGAAGCTGGGTTGTGGGAGGTGGAAGGAAGTGCCGGATGCATGCTTGGAGCAGGACTCCTTCTTCTTGCCCTTGGATGAGGGTTTTTTGGACTTGACAGGGAACTGAGGCTGCTCACTGTTTTCCTTGTTACTATTGCATTCGGTGATATCCTGGGCAGTCAACTCATCCTCTGTGATGATCTTGAGCGGGTCATAGATGCTAATACGATGCAGACGTCCATCAATGTCCACCTCGACGATCCGTTGGGCCTGGGCATATGTCAGGGTCTCCCGAGTGGGTGAGCACTTCAGACTATAGGGGGATGGGGAGCGCCGGCCCTCGGCATTCTGCCGTGACTTCCGGCGAGGCTTCCTCATGGCACCCGGGAACCAACGAGACAGGCCTAAAGAGGAGGCCAGGAGACTGTGAGCCAGACGTTCAGGCATGCATGCATTCATTTACCCTTCCATCTGATCAAGTGGCCACTGAGCAAACTGGCTATTCCCTCTGTCTGAACATCCTGCCCCTCAGGTATCCACATGGCTTGCTCTTTCACCTCCTCCAAGTCTTTCCATAAACAGTGTTTCTCAGTGAGACCTATGACCATTCTATCCAAAATTGCAAATCCCTTTCCCCCACCAGCAATCTTTCATCCTGCTTTATATTTCACTATAACACTCACCAATTTTTACTGTGCTATGTAATTTATATATTTATCATGTATATTTGTTTCCTTCCTCTAGAATGTAAGGCCCATGAGGGGAGGGATTTTTGCCTGTCTTGTTCACTGCTGTATCTCCAGCACCTGGAACGGTGCCTGACTCCTAAGTAAGCATTCTATAAGTGTTAGCTGAATGAAATGAGAAATCAAACACTCATGGATCCCTGCCCTCAAGGAGCGCTGTCTGATTGAAGGGACAGAAAAGTAAACACAACAGATCACTACAGATCAATGCAACATGGGGAGAGAGCTAATGTTCTAATGAGGTATATAAGGCTGTGGGACAGCTAACTATGGAAAAGGGGGTGGTGGTTAAGGCTTAGGAAAGGAGTAAACAAGAACAGCATCCACTTACAAGCTCTACACATGACCTGTGGCCCCATGGGGGATCAAAAATCCACAGGTCTAGAGCCCTCTCCCAACCCATCTTACCATGATCCATGATCAGAAACACTATCCCCGACCATGCCCAGGGGTGAAGGGGTAAGGCACCTGAAATGTCTATCGCATGTGGTCTAAGGACTTCAAACTACAATGTGCAGGGTATTCTCTGCAAAAGGCAGCATTCAGGATGCATTGGCTAGTACATCTCTAAGCAGAAACCCTGGAAGCTCTGGGTGTGGTCCCAAGTGGCCTATTTGGGACCCTCACTGGACCTAAGGCCAAGGTAACTGGGGCAATATCTGGGGTAAACTCTCAATGCATCTATTACTTCAAAAGCCCCTCTCTCCCAAAATACATCCAGTCCACCCTTGTGCAACAAAGAGAAAGCTCTAAATTTTTCCCAGTGTTCACTGGGATGGAGGGAATTATGACAAGCTCACAAGGAGCTGTGGTCACAGTTACTGAGGCCATCAATACTAAGAAAGACCTTTGGAGATATGGTGCCCTGAGGTGCGGGCAGAGACTTGGAAGGGTATGAACAGGGAGACGATTTCAAGGAGAAAAACAGAATTTGTCACCTTGCTTGCAGGATCTACCATCTTTATAAAGTGGAGATGGTGATGATAATGTAGCACACTTTCACAAACTACAAAGCCCTTTTACTTTTAATATTTTTCACAACTACCTTGGAAGGGAGAATAGATATCCTCATCTCCATTTTACAGATGAAGACACAGAAGCTCAGAAAGGTGTCACTCCCCCTAAAGCTGGTAAGTGACAGAGCTACAATTCAAACCCAGATCTTCTGATCTGCTCAAGCCATCTCACTAGGACATAAGAACACCACAGAGATGCCATGGTCTGGTACGAAAAGAGGCTCTGAGGCAATCCAGGTACTAATCTTGGCCCTGTGTGACCCGGAGAAAGTCACTGAAACGTTCTGTGCCCGCACACTCCATCAGTAAAATGAAATTAATAAAATTTATTTCTTAAGGGTTGCTATTTGGTAATAAGGTATTCTTAACATCCTTATTTTAAAAGCCTTCCAATCCCAAAGTCTGACTGAAAGAAACAAACAAAAAACAACTTGGCTGAGGCACAGTGCCAGGCAGGCACAAACCCTATTTGGAACCAAAGGAAAGAGAATCATTCGCAGAAATTCTGTCCAGGTTCCAGAGACCCTTGGCCACTACATGCCTGACAAATGCCAACTCCCTGGGGGCGGCCCGGGCCAACAGACCTGCTTTATTATCCCCACCCTGTCAAGGGCATGCAGACCCTTGCAGAGGTGTGAAAATCTATCTCAACAGTAACTTGAAATGCTTCAGAAAGGGGATGTAGCTCCTCCTTTGTCAAAGCCAGGATATATTCCTCCTCCCTACCCGCTACCTCCTAGAGTATCTCTCAATCAAGCAGCAAGTATCTACAGAGACCTCTGTTGTCCTACCCAAGCCTCTAGACACTGGAGGGCCAACTCCAGAGGGGGAAGGGCTGCTGCTGAGGAAAAACGAAATGAGTTTCGCCCTCAAGGAGCTTACAGTCTAGTTTTTTGGCGGGAGTTTCTCATCCCACACAGCCCTTCCCACATACACAGCTCCAAATACCTCCAACACCCCCAGAGGTCTACCCGGCATCCCCTGAGCCCCCACTCGCCCACCCCACCCAGGTCCGCGAAGAATAAGGAGTTTCTGCAATTAAAACTGTTCCTCCTACACCCCACACGAGATACTCATGAGACAAATAAGGACCCCAGCCAAGACTCCCGCCCCTTTAAAGGGGCACCTCTTCCAGAAGAATCCTGACCCTTCGGAGAGGAAAGGAGGGAAATAACATCTCCTCACCAGAGGGGAGGGAGCGAGCGTGCCTGAGACAGACGCGGAGCCCGACCCTCAGACAGAGAAAGCTAGCGCCTGCGAACAAGCGGGGCACAGAGGCAAGCGCCCATTGGCCGCCTCACCTGCCCGTCTGGAGGAACCGGGGGCCAAGGGACGCTCAGGGGGTGGAACTCTCCTCTGACCTGACCAATTGGAGAGCGTGGCGGGGGCGGGGCTCGGCGGCTCGGCTTCCAGGGCCAGGGGGGGAACAAGATGGCGGCTGCGGGAGGGGGTCCTTGCTTTTCAGCTCCCCCCCTCACCCGCCTTTTCCTTCTCCGCTGCCACCCTGGCTCCAGGAAAGAGCTTTCGCGCCGCCCCCGCCCCGCTCGGGAAGCCCCTCGCTTCCCTCCCCCATCCCGCGCAGTCCCTGGTCCCCGTAGGCCCCGCTGCTCCCGCCCCCGTTCCGTCCGGCCCCGCTGCCGCCCCCATTACCTCAGCAGCCGGCCCGTCCCCACCGTTCGGGGCTCCTGGGCGCGGGCGGGCCGGCCGCCTAGCAGATCGGCGCGGCCCGGGGAGCGGAGCGCGGCCTCCTCCCGCGCTGACCTCCGTGGCCACCGCCGTGCCCCCTCCCGGCCCGCGCTGGGGCCCCGGCCCGGCCGCCGCCGCTCCCGGGGGAGGAGGGGGAATGGAACCGCCGCCGCCGCCGCCGCTGCCGCCACGGAGCCCGGCCGAGGGGAGGGAGGGATCAGCCCCCAGGCAGGATCCGCCCCTCCGGCCTCCCCCCCTCCCCCCGCCACCTCCACCCCTTCCCTCGCTCCCTCTCTGGCTCCGCGGGCTCTCCCGCTGAACAGGAGCGAGAGCGCGAAAGAGAGGGGAAACAAGAAAAAAATTCCCCCGCCCGTGCCCGGCGCGGCGGCGGCCGGGGCGGCGCGGAGAGGAGCGCGGAGCCGCTGCCGCCACAGGGCACTGTCCCCTGCTCGGCCTCACGGTGGCGGTGCGGACACGGCAGGGGCGCGGAGCAAAGGCGGGATCTGCGCCCGCCGCGGCCCCGGCTCACGCCGACCTGGCTCGCCACGGGGAGAGTCCGACTAGAGAGCTGGGGGGCGTTCGGGTCCAGCTGGGAAAGACGGGGTCCCTAACTCCTTAGAGTGGTTATTCATCCCCTCCCCCAGCCCTGCGGGGGAGGTGGCTAAGGTTTGGAGCAACAACCCCCCTCCCTGAGCTAGAGGGTCCCTCCAAAGGCTAAGTCAAGAGCAGTCATTGAAGACAAAACCGTTCTGTAGTTTCTTGGGGTGCAGGTGCCTGCAGTACTCCCAGAAAGTCGCCCCCTTCCCCCCGTGCTCCAGTCCGGAGGACAAAGGTCTATCGATGTCCATACCCTTCCTCAGTGAGGACAGCCGGGGAAGACCTGCCTCTGTTGTGTAAAGGTGAGCCTCATTCCCCACGAGACATCTTTCTAAAGAAACAGACTTGACTTTTCGTTGTGTGCCATCCTCTCCCTTCTGTGTTTAAAAAGAGTAAACATAAAAGAGTAAACAAAAGTTTGACGGTCTACTTAACGACGTCTGGTAACTCGCTTGTCACCATAGACATGGGAAACACTGTCTCCTTAAACCTTATTTGGCTAGGAGTCGGTTAATTTAATGCAAAAGCCGCTTTATAATAGATGTTTGACAAATGGCAACTTAAGACTTTAAGAAATAATCAGCCTGGCTTTTGCTTTGGTAAATGAATTTAAGAAGAGAAAAGGGCTCCTTTGTCACCCCTCTTTTGCCTATAAATTGGAAAGCTTACCTCATATGACTGAAGTCTTAAGCACCAGTATTTAACGATGTTTATAAAGGATGTATGGATAGACTGCCTTTAAATGTGAACATGAATGACATGTTTTGAAAGCGTTTCCTCTCCCCGCGCTGGTGGTGTAGCTTGGTAAGACTCACAATTTCTTGCTTGGTTCTGATCATTAATGACAGAGATTGTAAAGTCAGAGGATGAAGGATAAAGGCTTAGGATCCAGGTCTTCCAAATGCTTAAACTTAACGAACTGCTACTTTTGAAGTATAGATGTTCATTATCCTAAGAAATTTAAACATATTGTGTTTTGGATTTGAAAGTTTGATAAAAGTAAGGAAGCTAATTTGTATGACAAAGATGTTTTCCTGATTACATGGTAGCACCTTCTGGCAAAACGATAGCAAAAATACTTCATTAACCAATTTTTTTTTAAGAAAAAAGGACTGGCTTGTGAAGCTAAGCAAGGACAGGGCATTGTTTTGAAAGCTGTGAAGGTGAAATAGTATGAATTAACGTCAAAAGGCTAGGGAGAATAATCATTTGGAGGGAAGGTGTAGAAGAAAAGATGATTAATTGTGGAAGGGAAAGCTCCAGAGGCAAGAGAATATTACAATTACTTTTAGTTAAAGAAAAAAAAAAAAAAGAAGACTAATAGAAACAAGAACACTGAATTTCATTTCTTGTTCTTTTAAAATGTGAAATATAACCATTTCTACATATAACTAGTAACTTTTATTTCTTGAGGGATGTTCTCAAAATTTATTTAGTACAATTCCCATTTGTGGGATTGGGAGCTTTTTCCACTAAAGTTAAAGAATAAATACTTTGAGGAAAGGTATTGGTTTCCATTTGTAACAGTAAGTAAAATAATTATTTAAATGCTGTTGAAAATGCATTGTTAACCTGATACATATGATTTCCAGGTTTTTCTATTCAAAGCTTTCATAGAAGACCTTATTCAGCCTAAATGTTTTTCTTCCATTTTCAACTTCCACTTTCTTAATGGTAACTTTACAGTTGTCCTCGCTTCTATTTTTGATATTTGGAATTGGTTTCTGTTTGTATAACTGCACACATAGCCAGTTTACTATGATGTAATCTTAAATGTAACATGGGACAATTATGTCATTAAAAACAAATTTGAGGGCTTCCCTGGTGGTGCAGTGGTTAAGAATCTGCCTACCAATGCAGGGGACCACGTTCAAGCCCTGGTCCGGGAAGATCCCACATGCTGCGGAGTAGCTAAGCTCGTGCACCACAACTACTGAGCATGCGCTCCAGAGCCCGCGAGCCACAACTACTGAGCCCGCGTGCTACAACTGCTGAAGCCTGTGCGCCTAGAGCCCGTGCTCTGCCACAAGAGAAGCCACTGCAACGAGAAGCTCATGCACCACAACAGAGTAGCCCCAGCTCGCCACAACTAGGGAAGGCCCGTGCGCCACAACTAGAGAAGGCCCGTGCACAGCAACGAAGACCCAACGCAGCCAAAAGTAAATAAATTTATTTTTTAAAAAACAAATTTGGAACATGTATCAAAAATCCCAGAGGCACTAAATTTAATTCACTTTAATCTTTAGCTATTTTAAATAGTTTAAATTCACCAGCCCTTGGCCTTTCCATTAAACCATATAGCAATTCAGTTCAACAGACAGAGGCACAGACCTTTGATTCCCAATAGTCGTTTTTAAAATCCTCCATTTCTAAGTAGACACTAACTTAATTTGGAGTAGGAGACTATTTTACTACTTAAACCCAGAAAAGGAAACATGAGTACAAAAAGTTTCCCCCTCAATTTTTTTTTCAGCATCTCAGGATATCTTTGTCAACAATTTACTGTTATCATTAGTTTACCAAAGCAAGAAACCTCTGAAGGGTCAGATGCAATACCCACTGGATTAATAAAAATATGTGTAATGAAAAGGAAATAGACTTTGAGTAATTGTTGAATTTTTTTTTTTTTCCCCTGCTGTACGCGGGCCTCTCACTGCTGTGGCCTCTCCTGTTGCGGAGCACAGGCTCCGGACACGCAGGCTCAGCAGCCATGGCTCACGGGCCCAGTCGCTCGGCGGCATGTGGGATCTTCCCGGACCCCGGGGCACGAACCCATGTCCCCTGCGTCGGCAGGCAGACTCTCAACCACTGAGCCACCAGGGAAGCCCTGTTGAATTATTTTTAGTAGAATATTCCTTCCTTAGACTTTGGATAAAAGAGTTCTAAACCATACATAGGAAGAATATGGGAGTTTGAAATCATTGTGATATTTTTATGCTGTAATGAAAATGCTGTAAGAATATAGTTTGCTTAGAAAAAGGAAAAAATTTATGCCAACAACAGGCTTTAAATCGAATACCACACCCTCTAAATTTAATTGCATTCATTTATTCCTGTAACAGACATTTATCGAACATCTGTGTGTCCAACACTGTTCAAGTTGCTTTGGAAAATAATGACAAAATCTCAACGTAGGGCACAGTGATCATATGTAAATGTAGAATATATTTTTCTTTGCCTTGAGTAGTGTACAATCAAGAAGAAAGCTAGAAATAACTAGAAAATACATGTAGGAGAAATCCGATAAGGCAGTGAACAGTGTAGAGCCACCGCTATTCAAATGGAGGATAGGAGACTTCTTTTAGCCTGGTTCTAAATAGTGATGGATGTGAATTGGCGAAAAGAGTGTGGAATGACATTATTAGGTTGGTGACAGGGCAGCCCAGGCAAAGGGAAAACATGCAGGGAATAATAAGGAAATTACCCTAGCTGGTCTGTATGGGAAGTTGTTAAGAAAGAAAAAGTTGAATTGGATATGGCAAGGGTATAGGGATAATAAAAATAATACCTAACACTTATTTACAAGGTACTGTGCTCAGTGCTTTACCTACTGTATTTATTAAAAATCTTTGTTGCACTTAGAAAACAAGCTAGTTTAATTAATAAAGGAAATCTATTGATTCTCATAACCAGAAGGTCCAGGGGTGCATCTGGTTTTAGGTAAGGTCAAGTCAAGAGATTCAGATTACATCATCAGGACATAGTTTCTTGCAGTCTCTCAGCCATCCTGAACTAATAGCTGTGGCCAGAAAGACATGATACTCTAATGAGGTGTGGTCATTGTTCACTACCAGAACCAGAGGACACGGGCAGGAGATGATTCTCCAAAGATATAGTGGGCACTTGTACAAAGTAGGTCCAATATGCATGCTATATCTCATTTATCAATTTGTAGCTCTGTGAAATTATTATTATGGTCCCCATTATGCATAGGATAAACTAGAGCAGGAACAGTATTAGGTAAACCAGGAAGAATTTATAGTATTTGTTGTGAAAATAAAAGGACATTAACCAGAATGGTGGAAGAGACTGTAGAGAAAAAGGAAAGGAAGGGTCAAATCAGAAATCAGAAGACAGATCAACAGTTTTATGAGTGATTGGACATAGGAACAAAAGAGAAAAGCAAAGATGAATCTAAGCTCAAACTTAGGAGGTTTTGACCATGCTAGTATGGTCATTGCAAATTAAGAGGTGGCAAAGGGTTACTCTGGAGCTCCTTTTGGGTCTGAGGGCCTGAGGATTGAGGAAATGATAAGTCAGCCCAAGTTCTCTGGAGCCCCTTTTAGTCACACTAAAATACATATTCATTCAACAATTATCTGTGAGCTGCAGGTGAGGTTGTATTTTATGCCTGTGAAGACCACAAAGGTGAAAAGGCTATGCTGTCACACTTGAAGTCACTTAAAATCTAATCACAGGAATAAAGCAAGTATATTAGTAACCAGAACATGCAATGGCATATAAGCACCTCAAGAGAGATGCAAGCAGAGTGGCATGAGAGTTAGAGATGAAAGAGAAGAGGGGAAGGCTCCATGAAGAAGGTGCCAATTGAGCTCCACCTTAAAGCTTGGGTTGAGTGTTAACTAGGAGGATGGGGGAGTGTGGTCCAGGCTGAGCACCATGAGCAGAGAAAGGTGGGACACCATAATATTGATTCAGGGGACAGTGGGTTATCCCGTTTGACCAAAAATGGGAGATGTGAGAGAAAAGACTGGAAAGATAAAGTCCGAGCATGGAGTCTGTTTTATAGGGAACTGGATGTGAAGGGGCGGTAGTGCCTCATGATTTTTAGAACACGGAAATGGCTTGAATAATTCATGCTTGAAGATCCAGTCAGGCAAGAGAGTATGGTACAGTATGTTTTAAATTATCCACCTAGTATGGCTTACATTATCCTCTTTGGACTTGAATTCTGGCTAGAACATTTTACCATATTCTTAGTGAAATGTTAAACCACAAACCTAAAAGTAAATAGCATGTGGCAAGTGTAAATTGTTCAACCTGATTTAATGTCCTTTCATTTCAGCCTTTAATTAGCATTTCTGTTAAGTCCTAAACTTTTAATCATGCGTGAAGTCAGGACACCATAAAATATGTTATTTCCATATTTTAACAAAAGAACTGACCCTGCAAGTAGCCACCTACTTGGTATAATTTTACTAAAGAGAGAAAATGAACAAAAATAATAGCACCTAAAAAATAATAAAAATAGCATCTACCAAACCAGAACCTGCATTTTAACAAAATCACCCTAGGTGATTCATATGTGTGATGGTTAATTTTATGTGTGAAGTTGACTGGGCTAAGGGATAGCTGGTAAAACATTATTACTGAGTGTCTGTGAAGGTGTTTCTGGAAGAGATTAGCATTTTAATCGGTAGACTGAGTAAAGAAGATAACCCCTAATAGTGCGGATGGGCATCATCCAATCTGTTGAGGGCCTGACTAGGACAAAAAGGTAGAGGAAGGTTGAATTCACTCTCTGGTTGAGCTGGGACATTACCTTCTCCTGCCCTTGGTCCTGGCTCCCACACCTTTGGACTTGGCTAAGTTATACCAGCAGCCATCCTGGTTCTCCAGCTTGCAGATGACAGATCATGGGACTTCTTGGCCTCCATAATTGCTTGAACCAATTCCTATTATATCTATTTATTCTGTTTCTCTGCAGAACCCTGACTAATACAATGTGCATATTAAAGTTGAGAAGCAGTGGATTAGAGGATATTAGACAATTCCAGGATTAAAGTGTTTTAAGGTCCTTGCATTGTCTGGGAAAAGGGTAAAACTCAAGAATTAATATTTGCCTTTGATTAGTCAAGAATACCTGTTGTAATGTATGATTCCATTTATTTGAAATTCTTGAAAATGCAAACTAATCTATAGTAACAGAAAGCAGATTGGTGGCTGCCTGGAGGTAGAGGAGAGTACTGACTATAAAGGGGCATGTGGGAACTTTTGGGAGTGATGGAAACATTCCATAAGTTGATTGTGGTGGTAGAGAAACATTTGTCAGAAGTTATCGAAATACTGGGATAGCCGTCATGTATTTTACATAAATTGTACCACAATTAAGTTGATTAAAAAAAGAATACCTGTTGTAATTTTTAGACTAATCATTAAAAGAATGAAAAAAAGAGTATATAACTCACAAACTAGTAGAGAGGAAAAAAGAAATAATAAATATTCAACCAATCAAAAAGAAGACAAAGAAAAAGGAACACAAATAAGCAATAAGAAGAAAAATAAGCAATAAGATGATGGCAGATATAAACTCAATCTACAGTCTAAACGGTAGAATGAACAGTGTACAATGAGAGGGACATTTTTGGGAAAGTTTAACGATAGATGGTTAAAATGTGTGGATTGAGCACATGTACTTATTCCCCAAACTTTACTTAATATGTTAAGAAAGGATTAAAAAAAAAACCCTGCAAGATAATAAAATCCACAAGAACAGAGAATGGGGGGAAGAAACAACAGCAGTTGAGAACTGTCAATAAAATTTTGGAGAATGGAAGTAGATGGGTGAACAAATCAGAGAAAGTTAAAAGTCTGCAAGAAGAGCTGGTAAAAATCAGCTGATTCATATTAGACCACTAGAAAGGCTTAGAAGTAGGAGACTGCAGGTACTTCTGAAGAAATGTGTGTGCTGGGGGGTAGGGGGTGGTGGTGAGGGGGTGGCAGTGGCTTGGAGAGTAGGCCTGAAAGTAGGATTGGCTGAAAAACCTGTTAAAAGGGTGGTTAGATGCCATCAGATCTCCCCACTACTCCTTGGAGATTTGCCATCTCAAGAAATTGAACTAAAGAGATCTGGACTTGGAGATTCCAGGCAGGCACCAATGAAGGCAGGGACAAGTGCCATTCTGAAAATGGCAATTAGAATGAAACTCTACATACTGAATGGTGAGACACTCCATCCCCACCTCATTTCCCTTCTCAGTGCTGATAAAGAGGAAGGGAGAAGCTGGTACAAATTGATGGGATCTGGTGGTCCAGAAGGGGGCTGAGGAAAAAATCCCACGAAAATATTTTTAGCCAGCTTATCCTTTCAAGTGGGGAATTGAAAAAAACGTTTTCTTGATATCAAAATCCTCAGTGGCCCAGCCTCTTCCTCCACCTCACATTTTAGAACACCAGGAGCCAAATATATTAGAATCTTGCTATTCAGATTGTTGTCCAAGAACCAGTAGTATTGGCATGCCCTGGGAGGAGGTTAGAAATGCTGACTCTCAGGCCCCACTCCAGACCTGCCAAACCAAAATCTGAATTTTAACAAGATTCCCCCAGGTGATTTATTTATTTTTTTAAATAATTAACTCTTTTTTTAAAATAGATTTATTTTATTTATTTATTTATTTTTGGCTGCGTTGGGTCTTCGTTGCTGCACACCAGCTTTCTCTAGTTGTGGCGAGCAGGGGCTTCTCTTGTTGCGGAGCACAGGCTCTAGAGGTGCAGGCTCAGTAGTTGTGGCACATGGGCTTAGTTGCTCTGTGGCATGTGGAATCTTCCCGGACCAGGGATCGAACCCGTGTCCCCTGCATTGGCAGGAGAATTCTCAATCAGTGCACCACCAGTGCATGTTTTGCATGTTAAAATTTGAGAAGCAGTGGATTAAAGGATATTAGAGAATTCCAGGATTCCTCTCTGAAAGTAAAGTCCTATTTACAAATATTTATGGAGGAACATTCCCAGTAAAAACAAAAAAATTTCAGTTTGCCACCTTTTGCCTTATATTGAAGCCTACCAGATACCAAAATACCCCCTCCCTTTGCCCCAACACACACAATTTTAAACAACTTTTTATTACCTCACTCAAAATTGAGTAGACAGTCAAGAACCAAGAGATATATGAGGAAAGTCTCACGAACGTCATAGCCCAAAACAAAGGAACAGAGTGGAAACAGTTAATGTAGAGAACCACAGAAGTTTTAACAGACAAAAATCTCAGCCTCAAAGAGTAGCATCCATGAAATGGGAACGTGATAATATTAGAAAAGAAGGGAGGGAGGGAAGGAGGGAGAATGAAAAGGCGCAGTCAAAAGATTAAAAACTCTTGAAAATTAAAAATAAGAAAGTATGAAAGATTTTAAAAAGATACAATGGAAGATTTGGAAGGTGAAGTTGAAGGCTCCCAGAGAGTAGAGGGAAAATAGGAAAGTACAGAGAAGAGAAAAGAGAACTTGAGGATCCGTTCAGGACACTCAACATCCCATCTATAGTAATTCTAGAATGAGAAATGATAAATTTTCCCAGAAATGAAGGTCTTGAGTTTCCAGAATGAAAGACTCCCCCAGTGCCCTGGTACAATGAGTGCAAAAAGATCTAATCTAAGAACACTAGTGATAGAAAAAGGGAGGATCCTAAAAGCTTCTAGAGAGAAAAAAGCAGGTCACGTAGAAAAGATTACGAATCAGAATGATACCAAGTTAGAAGACATCAGAATAATCCCATCAAATGCTGAGGGAATGTTGTTTTCAATATTCAAGTCTATGCCTTGCCAAAGTATCAAGTGTGGGAATAGTATAAAGACATTTTCCGACTTGCAAGGTCTCATTTATCTATTCTTTCTCAGGAAGCAACTGGATGACATTTTCCACCAAATGATGGAGAAAAAAATCAAGAAAAATAGAAGTCACGGGGTCCATGAAATGGGATCCAATACAAGAAAGAAGCAAAAGGCATCCCCAGTTATGATGAAGGGAAATCCCAGGAAGAGTTGTGTGGCAGGCTTAGGGTGCAACCATTGGAGTTGGAGGACTCCAGAAACAACTGGAATGGATAATTTACCATATACATTTGACTGTATGAGAGGAGGTTTTCAGTACTGATAGAGAGTTTAGAGATGGATTTAATGATATGTATATAGATAATTAAAAATTTTAAACAGGCTATTATTAATTCCAGGAAAGACAACTCATGTGAAAAAAATATAATTTCTATATATTTCACAATATAATTTCTATAAGCCTGTGACTCATTTGCAAACATTTATATAATCATAATGAAAAACAGAATAGAGATTTAACTAAAAATTATGATAAAACTTTTTTGAGAATATGAGGTGAGTGGTAGGAGATACAAGAAAGTTAAATCCTCATTGTCTATAGTTGAAAGGTAATAGATAATGTGTAAAGTTGAAAAATCAAGAAGTAACAGTAAATGCAAGTTATTTAGAAATGAAAGATAAATACTAGAAGAAACTACAAAAGAGTTTGAAAGCATTGCTTATGGATTAGGAGAGCAGGAATTGGGGTGAAGCAGAGATCTCTGGTTTTATTTTTAAGCCTCAGAATTATTTGAGTTTTTATTTCTTTTTTTAAAAATTTATTATTTATTTAATTTATTTATTTTTGGCTGCGTTGGGTCTTTGTTTCTGCACGTGGCCTTTCTCTAGTAGCAGCAAGTGGGGGCTACTCTTCGTTGCGGTGCACAGGCTTCTCATTGCGGTGGCTTCTCTTGTTGCGGCGCACGGGCTCTAGGTGTGTGGGCTTCAGTAGTTGTGGCACGCAGGCTCAGTATTTGTGGCTCACGGGCTCTAGAGCACAGGCTCAGTAGTTGTGGCACATGGGCTTAGTTGCTCTGCGGCATGTGGGATCTTCCCGGACCAGGGCTCAAACCCATGTCCCCTGCATTGGCAGGTGGATTCTTAACAACTGCACCACCAGGAAGCCCTGACTTTTAAAAACTATGTAATTTCGTAGACGTTGATATGAAATATACTTAAAATTAAATGATATAATTTCAAAAGTAAGTGAATGGATTGAAAAGTGGCTGTAATAAATTAGCTTTCCAATTCAGTATGGCAGAAAGAGTGTGCATCATACAGAAGAGAGTTAACATAGCAGGCCTGACTGCTGTCCTTTGAAATGCCTGCTTACATGGGTGGCATCTGGGAACTTCCTGGATTTCAGGAAGGTTCTCACCACCCTCACTGATAAGAGTGGTTCACTGTGCTTAAACTATTTGTGCAAACAATATGGTTTACGCTAGACAGCTGCTTTCCTTCTGGAGTACATGCCACCAGGCAGAGGGTGCCTTTGTAACCAGCCCCCAGTAAAAACTCTGGACAGTCTCTAATGAGCTTCCCTGGTAAACAACATTTGACATGTGTTGTTACAACTCATTGTTGAGGGAATTAAGTGCATCCTGTGTGAGAGAGGACTCTTGGAAGCTTGGTCCTGGTTTCCTCCAGACTCCACCCCATGTGCCTTCCTTTTCTCTTTGCTGATTTTACTGATTTTGCTCTGTATCCTTTCTCTATAATAAATTGTAGCCATACATACAGCTGCATGCTGAATCCTGATTCTTCCTATTGAATCACTGAATTTGGGGGTGGTTTTGAGGACCCCAGACACACATTTTACTTCAAATACCCATTAAAATAATAGTGTAATTACAGGATGCATGTTTGCAAGCAATAAAACCCAATTCTAGCTGTCTCAGGAAAAAACAGAATTTATTGGAAGGGTTGAAGTGGGGCTGACAGAATTGAAAGGAGACTGGAGGAGCAAGCTAGAAATCAAATATAATCTAGCTAGGACATTGCCACCACTGCCTATACTGTAAGTAGAAACTTAATATTTCTTCTTTTACTTACTAGTATTGGAAATACAGTTTATTGTTGCCTGTTCATCTTATATTTAGCCACCTTGCTAAACTTATTATTTCGAATAATTTGGTTGGTTCTTAAGGGTTTTCTCTATAGATAATTATATTATTTGTAAATAATAGTTTTGATCTTCCCTTTTCAAACATTCCTTCCTCCCTTCCTTCCTTCCTTCCTTCTTTCCTTCCTTCCTTCCTTCCTTCCTTCCTTCCCCCCCCCCCCCCTTACTGACCTTCAGCACAATGTTAGATAGAGGCAATAGACATCCCTGACTTGTTACTCAGTTATAAGGAAATGCTTCTGACATTTCCCTACTAAGAATGATGTTTGCTTTCGGTGTTATGTGAGATACCCTTTAACAGATTCAGAAAGATCATTTCTATTCTCACTTTGCTAAAAGTTGTTTCATCATGATGAGTGTTGAATTTTATCAAATGCACTTTCTGCATCTATTAAGATGATAATCGGTTTTCTCCTTTACTGTTAATGTGAAGAATTGGTTCTCTAATATTAAACCATTCTTGTATCTCTGAAATTAGCCTGACTTTGTCATGATTTATTACCTCTTTTATATATCACTGCTTTGGTTTGCTAATACTTTAATATATTTGCATCTAGGTTCACAAGTGAGATTACTGTAATTTGATAGCTTTGGGAATTAAGTTTTATTAATCTCATAGTATGAATTGGAAATATTTCCTCTTTTTCAGTTTTATGGAAGAGTTTGTATATGATTGAAATGAACTATTTCTTGGAAGGTTGGAATATTTTTTCTAGGGTTTGTTCATCTGAGTTTTGCAAAATGTTTTCTTTTGAATCTCTGCTACATCTATAGTTATGTTCCCCTTTGCATTACTAATATTTTTTTCTTCTCTTCTTTTCTCTCCCCTTTACCCCCACCCCCAATCAATTTTATTAATTTTTTTACCCCAGATAGCTAGCTTTTGGCTTTGTTGATCATCCTTAGTCTTTTTTTTTTTTTTTTTTTTTTTTTTTGTGGTACGCGGGCCTCTCACTGCTGTGGCCTTTCCCGTTGCAGAGCACAGGCTCCGGACGCACAGCCTCAGCGGCCATGGCTTACAGGCCCAGCCACTCCGTGGCATGTGGGATTTTCCCGGACCCGGGCACGAACCCATGTCCCCTGCATTGGCAGGCGGACTCTCAACCACTGCGCCACCAGGGAAGCCCCCCATTTTTTTGATTGTTGCTCTAACCATTTTAATCTGCTTCCTTCCACTTTATTCTGTTACTTTTCTAAAAGTTTGGGTGCCTAGTTTTTTTAATTTTCAGACTTTCTTCATTTCTAATATAAGCATTCAAGACTATAAGTTTACCTCGAATTACCACTGTTGTTTGTTTGTATGTTTCTCAAGTCTTGATACAAGTATTTTCATTATTGCTCAATTATAAATATCTTTACACTTCTCTTATGATTTTATCTCGGATCCAAGTGTTGTTTTGAAGTGTGTGTATGTTAAATTTTTAATTTTGAGATAATTTTAGTTTCACAAGCAGTTATAAGAAATCATACAGAAGGATTCCATGTACACTTTATCCAGTTTCCTCCAATAGTAATATCTTGCAAAACTATAGAAAATATCACATCCAGAATATTGACATTGATGAGAATTCAGCTGTTAATCTTACTGAGGATCCCTTATATGTGATGAATCATATCTGTCTTGCTGCTTTCAATATTCTCTTTGTCCTTGGCTTTTGACAGTTTGATTCTGATATGTCTAGATATGGATCTGTTTATCTTAGAGTGTGTTGAGCTTCTTGAATGTGTAGATTCATGATTTTCACCCAATTTGGGACATTTTGGGCCAAATTTTTTTTTTGTTCCCTTCTCTCCTCTCTTTCTGGGACCTCCTTATGCACATGTTGGTACACTTCATGGTGTTTCACAGGTATCTGAAGCTCTGGCTGTGTTCATTTTTCTTTATTCTTTTTTTTCTCTCTATTCCTCAGACTGGAGAATCTCAACTGACCTGTCTTCAAGTTTTCTGATTCTTCCTTCTGCCAGCTGGAATCTACAGCCATGGTCCTCTAGTAAAAACTTTCATTTCAGTTATTGTACTGAAGTTCTTTTTTTTTTTTTTTTTTGGCCTCGTTGCGCGGCATGCGGGATCCCAGTTCCCCGACCAGGGATCGAACCCAGGCCACAGCAGTGAGGGCGCCAATTCCTAACTATTGGATTGCCAGGGAATTCCCCTGAAGTTCTCTTTTTATATTGGTATTTATATTGGTTCTTTTTTATAATTCTTTCTCTTTACTGATAGTCTCTATTTGGTGAGACATTCTCATACTTTCCTTTAGTTCTTTAGATATGATTTCCTTTAGTTCTTTAAAGGTATTTATAATAGATGATTTAAATTCTTTGTCTGGTGAAGTCTGTCCATCTGAGCTTTCTGAGAGACAGTTTCTATTCATTGCTTCTTCCCCCTCACCTTGTGTATGTCCTGTTTTCCCCTTTCTTTGTATGTCTCATATGTTTTTTGAAAACTAGACACTTAAAATAATATAATGTGGCAACTCTGCATATCACATTCCCCTCTCTTCCCAGGGTTTATTGGGGTTGCTGTTTGTGGTTGCTGCTGCTGCTTCTGTTTTTTTAGTGACTTTCCTGAACTAATTCTGTAAAGTCTGTATTCTTTGTCATGTGTGGCACTGATAGTCTCTGCTTGGTTAGTTTAGTGATCAGGTAATGAATGGACAGCTATCTCCTTGCATGCCTTGAATTAATGTCTCCTGGCCTTTGCCAGGTGTGTGTGTGTGTGTGTGTGTGTGTGTGCATGCACATGCGTGTGGTGTTAGGGTATATCTTCAAGACTCCAACACACTGTGGACAACTCTGCTTTAGTCTTTACTTCCTGCTTGTGCAGAGCCTAAAGGTCTCCCAGCAGTGAGTGAGATTAGGGTCTTCTCAGACCTTTCCTGGGCATGCACACGGCCCAGCACATACATGTGGTCTTCTAGATATCCAAGAATATGTTGGAACTTTTCAAAGGCTCCTATAGATACCTTATTCCAAAGTTTTTCCTTTTAAGCTTTTTGTCAGCTTCTTCCTTGCCCCACACAGTTGTTATCGCCTAAGTCACCTGTGATGTTAAACAATTGCCCCTGGTTATTTTCAATAAATGCTCCAGGGAAAAGGGTATTCACAGTGAATGAGCTCTGAGTCAGTTCAAATAAACACAAACCCTGAGAGTGGTGGTTTATAGGGAACTGCCAGACAGGTCAAATAATGACAGTTATCTGGGGATGGAGCCTTTGAAAAGCTCCAAGCCTATTTTGACCTCTCCAGTGACTGCTAGGCTGCTAGTCTTCATGGCTGCCATGTCTGCAGGGCTGTTGGTTTCCAAGGCCACCATGGAAGGAGAGAGAAGACGTGAATAGGGCAAATTAAAATGCTACAAAGTTCTTTGTTTACTGAGATTCAGCCATTTTTTGTAATAAATACTCTTCAGACTGTTCTGAGCCTTTGGTTAATTTTCAGAGTTCAGAAAATGTGGATTTTGGCAACTTTGCCAGTGCTTTCATTGCTTTTATAAGGAGCAGTTTTCTAAGGTCCTTGCTCTGCCATTTTGGAAGGGTCTCCTATCATTTTGACATTGATACAGTCAAAATAAAAACAATTCCAGCACCACAAGGATCTCTTATGTTGTCCTTTTATAGCCACATCTGTTTCCTTCCTGTAGCCCTCTTAAGTCCTGGCAACCACTAATCTGTTCTCTGTTTTA